TCAGGAAAGAGACTAAGACTTGCTGTATTGATCTGGGGATTATCTGCATAGTGGTGGTAATTTAATCCATGGAAGTTGATGAGATCAGCAAGTGAAAGAGTATAGAGAAAGGATTCCAAAATAGGATTTGGGGTACACCCAGTTAGTAGGCAAATCATGGATAAATATATAGGAAAGAAGATTGAGAAGAACTAAGGAAAGGAGAAAAAGAACTAAAAAAAAAAGAGTAGTGTCTCAATAACCAAGAGGAGAGAGCATCAAAGAGGTGATTAACAGTGGCAAATGTTACAGAGAAATCAAAAAGAAAGATTAAGAAAAGGTCATCAGATTTGGCCACTAAGAGATTACTGAAGGGAGTAGTTTCAGCAAAATGATTAGTCCAAAAGAAAAGTTAATGCTAGAATCTAGATTATGGAAGGCTTAAAAGAAAGTGAAAAGAACTTCAGGCACCAAATATAGATGCCTTTTTACAAGGAATTTAGCTGAGAAGGGAAAGTAAGCTATAGGATGAGAGGTAGTATGGATGCTAAGATCTAATGATGTGTCTGTTTTTTGTTAAAGATGAGAAGACTTAAGAGTGCTTTTTGGCAAGAGTGAACGAATCAGTAGATACAGAGAGACAGGAAACAGAGGAGATGATAGTGGGGTTTAATCTGCTGGAATATATCATGGATACATACAAATACGTTGGTTTTGGCAAGGAGAGGGGCCACGTCTTCATCAGAGAAAACAGTAGAAATTAGGATAGAATGGATGATGGCGTCTGATGGTGTCTGTCTGTGGAGTGAGACAAGGAGAAATGATGAAAGGGAAGCTCACAGTAAATGGCTTCTTGAGCTCTTCTGAAAGGATGAAAAGAGGAAGTACAGTTGGAATCTTGAAGAATGAAAACATTTGGAAGAGCTTGCATAGAGTGAGACAGGGAATCAAAAAGGAAGGACGAGGATTCGTAGGATTCCCCTCTTGTGTTGAAGGTCTATTAGATAACACATGTGTAGTATACATGACACTCCATGCTCCCTTTGTCAACACATCAGTAGGAGCAAGGATGGTGGATGATGAGAGTAGTTCAGGATTAGGGCATGGTAAGACAGGAGTAGTCATAGGATAAGGGAATGAAGGACAGGAGAGTAGAGAATGGGTTACAGTTGAGTGAGTTCAACAAAGGGTCAAGATTGGAAAAGCAGGAATGTACAGCTATTTCATCACTAGAGTATGGAATACCGGAAGGGCATGGTGACAGCAAAGAGTAGGTTTAAGAACAGTATTGCATGAGAAGAGATGGAATGAGACTCCAGGATTATGAGCAGATCAAGGAGTTTTTGAGTTGACTTAGATGTGTAACACTGGTGAATGATGGCAAAATCAAGGGTAGGATAATTACTTTGTATACTGAGGTAGATTAGAAAAGTAGGTCACGGGAATTTAGTATATTGAAGAACAGAGGAATGACAGGATTTGAGGGAACATCAGCATGTATTTAATACCCTTCAGAAAGAGTACAAGATTTGAGGTATACACACATTCACGGGAGATTAAGAACCACTGTGAGGCCTCTCATTTGTACAATGTTCACAATGAAATGAAATTCATTTTGTTTTTATGGTACTTAATCTCAGTATTCTTCAGAACTCTCTGAGTGGAGCTTTCAGATGAGGACATCTTGAAAATGCAGATTATCTATTGCTCTGCAACTTCTAGTATTAGGAGGTTCTTAGGGACACTTGACATTCAGTGAAATGCCCAGTCACATAGCCAGGAAGTGTCAGAATCAGGAATTGAGCTCAGGTCATAAGGTTATGAATACTAGGGCCTTGAACACAAGAACACAGGGGTTCTTAACTGAGGGTGATCTAAGGGGTCAGAGGGTCTGGGAACCTGAATGGGGAAGAATATTGCTGTATTTTCACTGTTTGGTTTCCTTTGTAATCCAAGGTATTCTAATTCACACGTGTAAAACCACTCTTCTGAGAAGGTGTCTACAGGCTTCATTAGACTTCCAAAGGGATCAAGCACACACACACACTCACATACACACAAAGAGTTAAGGACCTCATCACTACATTACACTGCCTCTCATTTGTACAGAATTCATACTGCAGTTAAATTTATTGTATTTTTATGGCCTTTAATATCATCATCATCATTGCTAACATTTATTTAGCACTTTAAGAATTATGGAATATAGGGGCAGCTAGGGTGCAGTGGATAGATCAAAGGAGGCAGGAGGACCTGAGGTCAAATCCAACCTCAAACACTTGACACTTACTAGCTGTGTGACTGTGGGCAAGGCACTTAACTCCAAATGCTCAGCAAAAACAAAACAAAACAAAACAGAAAAAAAACCAAACAAACAAGAATTACAGAATACTTACAATATTACCTTATTTTATCCTGACATCAAACCTAGCATGTAGGTGCTATTGTTTTCCAATTTTATGGATGAAGAAACTAAGGCAGACATAGATTAAGTGACTTGCCCAAGTGTTCTACAGCTAAAAAGTGTCTGAGGACAAATTTGAACTTTTCCTGTCTCCAGGTCCAGTGCTCTATCACTGTGCTACTTATCTGCCCTATTCTAAGTCTCAAACTCCCAAAAAAATCAAAGGAGTGACTGAGAAGTGGCTAACTTTTATCTTCTATTAAGATAAAACTTCCATTAAGCAGAAAGAGTGATCTACATGGTTAATGAAGCCTTAGAGTCATCCTTGACTCTTCTCTGTCCCTCAGATCAGATATCAGGCATTGGCAAATTCCTGTCTCTTCTGTAGTTAATGGCAATATCTCTAGAGAGTATGCTGTGTAGTTGTTTCAGTTCTATCTGAATCTTCATGACCACATTTGGGGTTTTCTTGGCAAAGATACTGGAGTGGTCTACCATTTCCTTCTCCAACTCGTTTTACAGATGAGGAAACTGAGGCAAACAGGGTTAAGTGATTTGACCAGGACCACAAAGATTCTAGAAAGGATCTGAGGTGAGCCCAGCACTCTACCCACTGTGCTACCTAGCTGCTCCCTAGAGAGTATATACTTTCTCTAATCTCTATCCATCCTGCTGCCACTTTAGATACTCTTCACCTCTTGCCTGAGCTATTACAAAAGTTCCCTAACATGGCTAGCTCCTTGCTTCTGATTTCTCCCTTCTCTCATTCATCTTTCACATCACTGCCAAATGTACAGAAAAAACCAGTTCACTCTACTCAAAAATCTCCATCAGTGCTCTTTTGCCTATAGGATAAAATGATAAAATACAAGCTCATTGGTCTACTATTTAAATGACCTCTATAATCATGTTCTAGCTGAACTTTTCCCTTTGTGGATTAGAACCTCAGGGAAGAAGAGACCTTCGTGGTGCGGGGAAGTCACAGCATTATGCATATATACCCCAAATAATTAATCTTACTTCTCTGGCCAAATACATCTATAAAAAGACATTAGGACATTAGTCTGGTAGTGGTCACCTACAAAGTCAGGATGGAATGGGAGCAAGCGTCAGGGTGTTTGTGATGAAGTAGATTGTGAATGGAGTTTGGGGACAAAAAATGTTCAATGTGTTGCTGAGAGAACGTTTTTAATGTGATTAAGTGGAAACTCAAGTAGCTTAGTTGTTGGGAGGCAATGCTTGAATTTGTGAATATTATTTCAATCTAGGTTCCTAGTGATTTTAATTAGTTCATGGAAAATTTATCATGAGACTCTAGATTTTGAGACAGAAGGGATCTTAGAGGATATCATGTCCTATCTCCTCTTTTAGCAAATCTTAGAGATTTGCACAGGGTCAAACAAAAAGTAAATTCCTAAGGCAGAATTCAAACTCAGGTCTCACTGACTCCAGGTCCAGTGTTCCAAGCAACAAATTCCTTCCTGCCTCCTAGTGCTAGCTACCTTCAATCTTAATTCAGCATGGGGGAAAAAAAGATTTAATTTAAATTTGAGGGTGTTCTGCCTGGGCGTGGTATCTTTTACTAAGAATTGTCAGCCTGCTTTTATCAAGGAGAGGGCCTAATTGCTATACTGGCTGATATATGATATATTATATTATATTAAGTTGTCTGACTGCAGCTAATCCAGCTGGGAGGGGTGGATTTGGAGGGGATGGCAAAGGGACCTGAAGAAATCAGAGATCAGTAAACTATTACCAGCTGAGATAACATGCCCAGGAGCCAGCAGCAGTCTTGAGAACCACCAGAACAACTCACTCAACAGCATCACACAGTGAAAATGCCACACCCATTACAAAGCAAGCCTACTGAAAACATTGCTATGATATCATTGTGTGATACCACATGTGTGGTCCTGCCATGTTAGAGTTACCAATGGCTGCCCAACATGTGTGCCTTAGCCATAGATATTCCCTATATAGATGCCCTTCATAAATGGCTTTTCTCCTCACTTTTGGTACAAATAATTGTAAAAGAATATATACTGTTTTATTATGGGAATGTTCTATTTTGACATCCTTGCCTTCACTTTGAATTAATTACATCTTATGGCTGGCTACAAAGTAAATGCATCAGTGGGGGCTCATGAACTATGGTTTTCAGTCACTATATAAATAGATATATAGATATAGATAGATAAACACAGAGATAATAATTTGAAAAGGGAAGAGGGCATTAACAAATAGATGATCATGGATGGCTTTTCTTAGTAAATGACATATAAAATGATATTTGAAATTTTAAGAAGCCATATCTGTGCATAATAGGTATTTAATTCAATTAGATTAAATTGAATCAAATTAGGAAAATAGAGAAATTAATATAGATTAAACTTGCAAAATACCAAAGTTCTGTGATCGAGATAAATTCAGAAGCAAAATCTGTAATGACAGCATAATGTAGACAATAAAGTTAAAAATATAAAGACTGTGTTTGTTCAGGCAAATAAATTCACCCTACAGGTAAGCTACCAATATTCTCTTAAAATGAAAGTTTATTGTATTCCCAAAGCATTTAATTCATCAAAATCTTTCAAGAAAACACTATGTGAACACTGACCTGTGAACAAGTACCAGAGGTTGTTTGGCTCTAGTGTTTCCATCTCACCTCGGCGGGTTGTCTTTCTATGTCGGATTTTATAACCAGTAATGAATCCATTTTGTGTACCTGGCGGTGGAGGTAGCCAACTCACTTTGATACTCTGTAAAACAAAAGACGTTAATGTGGAAAGTTCGTCAAAGGAAAGAAAGCAATGCAGGCTTCAGAAAGAATGGAAGTTGAGGAAGGAATACAGAAGGAAAGAGATAAATATTAGGTCACTGTTGATGTGCAATTGTTTTTCAGTCATGTCTACCCTTCATGACCCCATGTGGGGTTTTCTTGCAAAGATACTGGAGTAGTTTGCCATTTCTTTCTCCAGCTTATTTTATAACTAAGAAAACTGAGGCAAACAGGGTTAAGTGACTTGCTCAGGGTCACACAGCTAGTAAGTGTCCAAGGTCAGATTTGAATTCGGGTCTTCCTGACTCCAGGCCTGGCACTCTATCCATTGTACCACCTAGCTGCTCCATTAAGGAACTGTATCAGGCTTTTATGTTTGTTTAAGTAAAGAAACATGACAATTAGAGGTATTATCACATATCAAATTCCCAAGGGGAAAAAAAAAAAGAGTCCCAATTAAAAAATTTGAAGAGATCTCAAGAGGCCAGCAAGTCTAAACCTTCCATTTTAAATATGAGGAAACTGAGGCCCAGAAATGTCTTGCCCCAGATCAGACAGGTAGTATTTGGTAGGGTTTAAACTTGGCTTCTCTGATTATAAGTCCAGCGCTCTTTCCACCGCTTCCTTCTACAACTTTTAGATTAAAAAGTAATTGATACAGTTTAGAGTCATGAATATATTGTCAAGAAATATATCTGAATCACCAAGTCAGGATGATATCGGCTCCACTAGAGCGATGAGCATTGGAAAGGAAGTCCAGGTAGCTGTCCCAGATCCACCTTTGCCCATCCATGGGGAGCTTGAGCAAGTTGCCTCCCCTTTGGAAGCCTCCCTTCCCTCCCCTGTGAAAGGAAAGATTCACAGGATGTCACAGACCTCGACCTGAAAGGAATCTTAGAGGCCGTTTAATTCAACTCCCTCGTTTAACTGATCAGGAACTGAGGCCCGACGATTAAGTGTCCTAGGCCGTACAGGTAGTAAGTAGCAATATTAAAAATTTAAAACCAGATCCCCTGACTAAAATCTAGAACGCTTTCCCCCACATCATGATTCAAAGTCTACTAGATTGTGCATTCCTTTCCAAATTATAATTTAAGTTTATAATCATAAAATAGATTTATAATTATATGTGATTATAATTACATACAAATATAATTAGACATTAATTTGTATATTTATATTAATCAATAATTAATTATAATTAATAAATTATAAATATATAATTATTGATTTATAATATATAAATTCATTATAATAGGATTATTCTCTATAAATGAAATATTGTAGTATATCTTGAATAGGAAAAGAACGATGCTTAATAAATAGCAGGCTTTCCTTCGGTCGTTTAAATGATGGGTAGTTTAGTGTGCCCATTTGAAAAGCAAGTGTGGTATTCACAATAGTTTAAATGACTATAAATTACCCACTAAGTCTAGAATATTTAATAATTCTAATGATTGTTTGAATATTATTTATTTTTAGACAGATGATAATTTTTCCTTATAATGCTTGATAATTTTATGTGCTGGTATCAATTTCCCCCATTTATCCAATGTACTGTCAGTACTTTTCAGTATGATTTTTTAATGTAAACAATTATATTTTCCTTGAGTCAGGAGGAGCACTTGCAGAGCTAGTCTTTTATTTGGATTTCTATCATTGGAAGTAGTTCTTTCAATTGTGCTTCCCATTCTTCTCACCTGTTCTCATTTGTAGTTAAATCCCAAATAAATGTGTTTGCCTCTCTTTTAAAAATACTTTTGCATTGATTTCCAGCATTTGTAAGCAGATTTAAAGCTATGGCAATGGAATTCTTTCAGTTCGGTTCACTTTTTTCAGTTTCTCAAGAGAGGATATGGCAAAAAGCCTCAAATTATATTATTTTGAAAAGTTAATGTCTATTTTATAAATGATCGCATGACTGAAAGTTTATAGACACTCTATATTAAAGAGCAATGTATTTAACCCTGCATTCCCCATGGAATATGTCCCATAGTCACTATCATAGCTAGAAATTTCCCATTTCCTCACTAAGCTACCTAAAATGATCACTGTTAGAAAAAAAAAATTTACTTTGAGCACAACCTAATCTCTATGGCGTGGTTTAAGGGTATTATTAACCCTCCTATAAACTTATTCTATTACACCTTGAATTAGAAACTGATACTATTTTAAAAAATTGATAAAAAGTAAAAACAAAATTCATTCAGTCTTTAACCAAAGTGTTGAGGTTGAATTGTTTGGCACAGTGCTTGGCACACAGGATATACTAAGTGTTTATTGAATGACTGTCTGGAGTTAGGAAGATTTGCCTCTGATGTTTCCTATCTGTATGACTATGAACATGTCATTGAATCCCTCTGACTTCCAGTTTCCTAAAATAAGGATAATAAGATTTTTGTTATCTATTTTACAGTGTTGTCAGAATTAAATGCAATAATATGTAAGGGTTTTATAAACATTGAAGTACTACACGAAAGTTATTATGATGAATCAACATCTTCCCCACAAAGTTGATATAAAGAAAGTACTGGTTATCCTTAAAATGTAAGTCATTATAATTAAAGGAAAAGGCAACTTTTTTTTTTTTTTGGCTAGGCAATGGGGTTAAGTGACTTGCCGAGTGTCACACAGCTAGTAAATGTCTAGTGTCTGAGGCTGGATTTGAACTCAGGTCCTCCTCACTCCAGGGCCAGTGCTAACTTTTGTTTTTAAAACAAATAAGGTCAGTGCCCCTAAAATTAAAATGGTCCCATAGTAAGTATATCTTTTTTTTATTCTGTAGCCCTATTTCTTAGATAATTATTCCTTAAATAGTTAATAAAATTATAATTCTTTAGTTTTTCATTACATTCCTGCAAAGCTCTTTAGTTGGTTAGTCAGGAATCAGAAACAGAGAGAGTAAGGATCCATGTCAAAGTCATACATTTTGCCCATAAGATTGAGTTTCATTTTCAAATCAATCTGACATCAAATCTTTGTTTTAAAGAGGTTTTCTCTAGAGGCAAACTTCTCAAAGTAGTATATTTCTAAAAGCAGCAAAAGAAATAATTATATGCCAAGTACTCATATAAGACATTTAAACAGTGTGTGGAACCTGAGGAAAGTGTTAATCCTCTAAGAAATCTCCATCATATCGCTCATGTTCTGAACTTAAACACACTTACTGGCATGTTCACCAGCCTCTAACTTATCTCACTGAATCTTGCCAGGAGCAAGGGCCATGACATAACATTTAAGTTGTCCATTCCAGAAGAGTAGAGGTCAAGGGCTAATGAAAATAGTGCATTATTGGGTAAAATGTATAAAATACTAATTTATCTTCTGACCCTTCAAGGTTGACAGAGATTCTATCATGAAAAAACTTTTATAAAATAAATGATATTCTGAGCTTAGAATGTTGCATTTCTTTGAAGATTTGGGAAACCATTTCTCTAGTTACAGAAAAGTAATATACACTTTGCCCTTATGCCGACATTGAACTAGACCTTTAATGAATCAGACAATTAATAAATGCATATTGGATTTCTGATATTTACATAACACTTTGGAGTTTTCCTATAATAACGCTGGTAAGTACTGCAAATATTATTTCATATCTATTTTTAAAAGGGAAATTAAAACTCTGAGAGTTTAAGTGATTTTTAATTTATCCATTCAACAGGCATTTATTAGGCACACACCAAATGCCAGACACTGTCCTAGCCACTGGGGTCATAAAATAATCACTGTCACCACCAGTACCAAACTACAACTGCAGTAAATAGTCCTTGCCTCCAAGGAGCTTCCTTTTTATTTAGAGGGAAGGAACAAAATAAAAACAGATAAGCAAAAATGATGCACAAAATAATTTGAGAAGGAGGGCAGATCAGGGTATGCCTTGTATAAAATGAATTTTTCTCCTGTAAAGTTGCTAATAATTTCATAATTGCCAAATCTGTTTTAATTGCCGTAATCATCTTTTCTCAAACCTGATCCTTCTTGACTTCTCTGCAACATTTGAAACTATTTACTACTTTCTCTTCTTGGATACTCTCACCTCTAGTTTTTGCTAACACTGTTCTCTCTTGGTTCTCTTCCTACCTGTCTGACCTGTTGTTTCTCCGTCTCCTCAATCATCATCCATGTTGTGCCTGCTAACTGTGGGTATTCCCTATAGCATTGTCCTTAGCCTCCTTCTCTCTTCTCTCTATACTTTCATTTGGTGACCTCATCTGTCCAAGTTTCAATTTCCAACTCTATGAAGATGACCCTAAAATCTATATATGCAGTCCTATTCTCTCTCCTGAGCTATATAGTCCTGTATCACAAGCAAATTGTTCATTAGATATGTCTAACAGGATGTCTGTACACATTTAAAAATTATCATGTTCAAAACAGAAGTGATTTTCTTCACTTCAACCAAATATAACCCTCTTTTGAAAATGAGGAAGAGAGGAAAGAGTACACTCCAGGCATGGCAGATAACTTGTTTAAAGACACAAAAATAGGGAAATTGAATACTATGTACAATGAAAGGCAATTAAAACAGTTTGGCTGAAAAGTAGTATATGTAATGGAGAGTAACATGAAATAAGCTTCAAAACTGAGGCTGGAACTAACTACAATGGGATCTAAATAACAACCAGAGTAAATTTCATTTTAATACAGAGGCAATTAGGAGCCAGTGGACCATCTTCAGTAACATGGTCAAACCTGTTTTGTTTTTCTTTTTTTGTTTGTTTGTTTGTTTTGTTTTTGTTTTTGTTTTTCAGCATATCAATTTGTCAGCAAATAATGTATTGGAAAGTGGAGAGGTTTGAGGTAGGGAGAACAATTAAAAGGATCTTGCTGTAGTCCAATCAAGAAGAGATGAGGGCATAACTAGGGTGATAGTTGTGCCACTGGAGAAAAACAGAAATATGTGAGATGTTATAGGGAGAGAATAGATTTTATTGTTATTGTTTTTCAGTTATGTCTGACTCTTCATGACCCCATTTA